CCGCCTGCCGGCCTCCCGCCGGGGCAGGTCGGTGCCTGTGCGCCGGGGCGGACCCCCGCAGGACAGCCCCGCGTGGGAAGCCAAGTCCTGCTTTTCGCTTGCCGCACGGGCTGCCGGCTGAGGTAAATGTGGCACAGAACCGGGTTTGATTCGGACTGGAGTCGGGCGCTCCGCTCTGCGGTCGAGCTGAAGGCTTCGGCCTGTTAGCTTATTTGGGAAATGGTTTTTCTTACATTTGTCTATAAACAGTCACCTAGCGTCAGCCTTTTCATACGATTTTAACATATGTGGACTTGCATTGGGCTAGGGTCGGGGTTTTGTTTGTTTTTTAAACGTTTGGAAGCAAAAATGGAAATCGTGGACCTTTAGTGGCTCTTTTCTGATGCTGGTGTATCTGTTACCAAAGGAGACGTGAACTCTCCAAGAGCGTTGTTAGCATGCGGTCGCTGCTGAGAAACAGCTGCAGAAAAAGTAACAAAAGAAGCGATGAGGTTTTGTTCCAGAGGAGATTCTCCAAGGACTTCAGCCGAGAGCTCACACCTGCCTTCCTGACAGCGCAGCTCCTCGGGGGAAGGCTGCTGGCAGTTCCGTGTTTGATAGAAACAGATACGCTAACTTGTCTTGACAGTAACTGTGGCTCACAGAGAGACGAATGTAGTTTCACTGAGGTTTTTTCTGGAGCGTGTTTTCTGTCTGAGGCGCTGCCAGACAGCTCCTGAGGCCTGAAACCTAATGCTGGTGATGTGTAGAAAAGCACTTTTTCCAGATTAAAAAAAAAACAACCAAGCAAAGCTTCAGTCTGTTTTTGACTGGCCTTAGGACAGGTTGTATAGTTCCCAGGCACTAATAAGTTACATTCCAAGTCAGATGTAACAGAAATAAACAGGTTTGCTAAGTGAATAAAACTTACACGACTATGCTGTCAGGTTTTTCCTCTGCTCCCAGTAACTGTCACGTTCACTTAAGCCAAATTAGGTAAGAGGTGTAGAGATGTAAGAGATGTTAAATTTCTACAGATTCTTGATTTGTGAAAACGATTGGATTTATAGAATGAGTAAGTGCCCCTTTTCCTGGAGAAGCAGGAGGGTTATCCTGTCCGTGCGGTCATTCAGGTGGGGAAGAGTCAGTGACTTGTGTCCCATCAGTCAGAATACGCAGCTCCTGACCAGTCATGGTCCGGGATACGTGGGGGAGCGGGTGAAGGCAAAGTGCTGGGGACCCAGGAGGAAGCCAGGTGCAATGGATTTTGCCCTTTTCCCACTGAAAATCTCACTGAGAGATTCTAAATCCTTTCTATTTAGCATATGATCCTGAAGGGTGGTTTCTCTTGGAGTTGGAGGGGTTGTAAAGCCATTTGCCGGATGCGCTTCTTGCTTTGTCAGTCTTATCCAGGTACCATGCTTTTAAAATTCTGTTGCTTTAAAGTGACACTGCAACCAGAGCAAAGGTCTCCAGCCTTCTGGCGGTGAGGCTGAACAATAACAATGAGAGCTGTATTACAGAATTCCAGTCTAGGTGCTTGGAGCCTTATTCAGAAATCCTTTGTATGAGCAAATTGAGGTTGGGCAAGCAGTTAGCTGGCCTTGAAGTCTTTACAGCTACACCAGCAAAAAGCATTTGGAAGAGGCGATGGAGACTTTGAAACCAGACTCAAGGTTAGCTCAGCCCTGAAGGGGGCCAGTGGCCCAGGTGCTTTAAGGTAGCAGACTAACGGAGGTAAGAGCTTCCTGTTGATAAAAAGCCATTTTTGAAAATTAGGAATGAATCTTGCTGTTTTAGGCTAGCATGAAGCCAGTGGTTCGGATGGTTTCAGTGAGATGTGCCGTATTTATCGGGGGTCATTGAGAGTAAAAGTTCACCTTGTGTTTCTAACATTCGAGGTGGGAATATGATGAATTTTTAAACTATGGTTTTTAAAAATGTGAGCACACCTGCAAGGATTGTTTACTTGGCAAAGTATTATTTAATAAAAGTTATTCTGAGGAGCACAAAAAAATGTATGGAACAGTTTGTCGGTGTGATAAACTCGGGTTCTCACTTTCTAATCTGGGCACGAGCAATGTCGCTGTGTTTCAGTTAAGGTTGAATTCTTGATTATAGCTTAGTATTTTTAGTGATGCTACAAAGTAGGTGGAGGTGGCGTTGATGAGTTAAATGCCTGAATATCTATATGATGCCATAGTTCGTTCCTGTCCTTTTTAAAAGTTACCGGTGTGTTCCTGACTCTGTATTTCACTATTTGAATAAATGATACCATGTACAAAGGCTTGATTTTACTTTGCATGACTGATGAAACTCTTTAGGATTAGGTTTTAATTAGTTATTATAGTATCAAAGCCGATTCATTTGTTTTGTATGGAAGAAAGAACTTGGTAGTTAGCACAGACGATGACCTGGTCGTTTATGTCCTCTCCCTTCTCCCCTTTACGCCAGTGGTAACGCTTCCATTACTCTAAAAAGAGTCAGGGCGGTTGCCTGTATGTGTGCTTCTGTAGCAACGAACAAAAAGATGCGTGTCTGCTCCTCAAAGAGTTAAAAAGCAGGATGGTAAATTCCCTTTATCTACGTTTTTCTATTAATACTCACAATGACTGCAGCCATCACCAAGCAAAACCTGATTTGATTCTAATTAACGCTACGTAGCGTAATGGTCTCCACCAGAACCCATCTCTCTGTCTGGCAGCTGAGGTCTTCGCTGGAAGCCAGGTTTCTTCTGCTCCTTCTCCACCTCGAAGGACGTGGCACCGTCGCCTCTGACCGACGCCCTGCCCGGCTCCCGCATCTGCTGTCTGACAAGAAACGCACCTTTTTTCAGAATCCTGTGGACAGGATCCTGTGTCCTGTTCTGAAACTGGGGGCTGGGGGGAGGATAGCTTCTGCTTTCCTGACTTGAAGGTGGCTGCGTTTTTTCCCGTTGAACAGATTTTGCGCTTAAGCGACGTTAGTAGTTATGAGCGCTTTTGGAGGATTTATTTTAATGGAAAGCGATACGTCGCCTGGGAAAACGGTGCCGTGGCTGCAAGTAACGAGCACCTAGTTCTTGTGAAAGCCTAATAAAGCCGCTCCGGTGCAACGGGAGGCGGTTCGGCAGGAGGGCGTCCCAAAGATCTCGGAACGGGGCAACTTCTCACCCCGCGCCTCGTCTGTACGCACGTCCTGAGGGGCGCGGGTTTTTACGGGTGCCTCGGCGGGCTGCGGGCAAAGCGTCTTTCCTCAGTTCGAATGCTTTACGCTGGCGTGCTGATTTTTAAGAAACGAACAGTCTGAAAGTTGGGAGTCCGTCCTTCCTGGCGGTTTTGTAGTCGAGAAGGC